GGAAGCCTGCTTCTCCCTCTCCCACTCCCCCTGCTTGTGTTCCCTCTCTCGCTGTGTCTCTCTCTGTCAAATAAATAAATAAAATCTTTTAAAAAAAAAGAAAGTCCAACTCTTGATTTTGGCTCAGGTCGTGTGCCAGATCTCCGGGTTGTGAGATCGAGCCCCGTGTCAGGCTCCACACTCAGTGGGGAGTCTGCTTGAGATTCTTGCCCTCTCCCTGCCCCCTTCCCCCGCCCCCTCGTGCATACTCTCTCTCTCTAAAGTAAATAAAATCTTAAAAAAAAAAAAATTTTTTTAAAAAGCCAATCTCAAAGTTTATATACTACATGGTCTCATTTGTATGACATTCACAAAATAACATAATTCTGGAGGTGGAGAACAGCGTAGTATTGCCAGGGGTGGTGGTGGGGGGCGGGGAAGGGAGTGGGTATGGCTATAAAGGGTTAATCCGAAGGCGCATCGTGGAGATGGGAGAGCTCAGTGTCTTGGTGGTTACACCAAGCTACGTATGTGATAGCATTGCATGGAGCTACACACAGAGACACACACAACTGAGTGCTTGCAAAACTGGTGAAATCCGAATGACGTCTGTGGATTACACACTTCCCCACTTTCATTTTGTACTATAGTTATGCAACTCCTGTGAATCTATAATATTTCAAAATTAGAAGTTTTTTTTTAAAACAGAAACCAGTCAGCACTTCTGACTTGCAGCGTTGTTTTTTTCTTTATGTGAGCCCTCTCTTTTAAATACCTGCTTCTTACATCCTGATTTGTGAGAACTTGAGGCAATTAAAATATATCCAGAGCCTTCAAAGGTGCCTTTAAAGTCGCAATTCTTTTGTTATTGTTTTGTGGTGCTAACAGCAGGAGGAGATTTCATTTAAAGGCCCAGTATCACTTCCTTTCTTCCTGGTTATCATAATACTGATCGCCTTCTTCTTTGGTAAATTCTTCTGACGAATGTTGAGTGAAGTATTTTCAGAGGATCCTGGAAGATTTAATGGAGTGTCCAGAAATGTAAACTAGTCAGCAATGTACATGCTAAACTTTCCTTTCGTCCTTTCCCCCAAAGGTTTATTGGATAATTATGCTTTTCAATTAACCTAACTTTAATAGCAGGCAGGGTTCTTTACTTGGTAGTTAATTAACCATCACAACCTCCTTGTATTATATCTTGACCTCATCACAGGGACAACTGGAGAACTGTCTTCGTCCATTCAGGCTGCTCTGAGGAAATACCACAGATGGGTGGCTTATGAACATCATGAATGTATTTCTCATGGTGCTGGAGGCTGGCCGTGCAAGATCAAGGCTCTGGCAGATTCGGTGTCTGGTGAGGTCCCGCTTCCTGGTTCCTAGATGATTATCTTGCTGTGTCCTCACAGAGGGCTAGGGACCTCTCTGGGGTCTCTTTTATAAACCTACTCACCTTCCAGAGGCCCTGCCTCCTAATGTCACCACACAGGAGTGTAAGGTTTCAATATACAGTAAGGACATTTCTCCTACGTCCTCCAGTTTGAGGGGACCCAACCCCAGTTGGCTGGGAAAGCAAAGAGAAAAGAAAGGCAAGTGGCCTTAGCGGAAATGTTTCTGAAGAAAGACCCGAGAGTTGGTGGCTCTGGAAATGGGATCAGGCCTCTCTTCTTGTTCTGCTCCTGCCTTTCCCGCCGTCACTCCCACCATTACTGCTTCCGAGGGACCAACCATTGGTCCTCCAGCCCAGCACTGCTGGGGAAGGACAGGGGGAGGTAAACCACTGCTGCTGTCTCTGGCCTTCTCTGGCTGCCTGCTTACGTCTTCTTGATGCCCTTCAGGAGCCCAGCTCACAGGCACCTTTGTCACTTCTGAGTTCCCTCTGCTGTGTGAGGCCCCTTGGCAGTGCCGAAAATAGGGTTTCTGCCACCCAGGGTTCCGACCAAAGCCTTCCAAACCAAAAAAGTTTTGTTACATCCTCGGGGATCAAACCGGTAAGAGATCACAAATGTTTGATGTTAATATACACGGTGTCCATGAAGTCTGGAAACGTAGGTACCTTTTTTTCCCCTCCCCCCGAAGATGTCCTTGACATCTTTTTCATTCATATAGACTGAAAAACATTCTATATTGTTGCCTGTTTCCAGCCTGGACGAATACCCTGTATAGTTAGCTAGGGTGTAACTCAATTACAGCATGAATGGAGTTGTTTTCAGTCCGGCTATTTATAGTATCCCTGCGGGTTATCTGACTCCAAGCTACTCAGTTTCAGGACTTCTAAGTCATAGATTCATTCACTGGGCAGACATTTTCGAGGGCCATCTGTTTCAAGACAGCATTCCAGGTAGGAGGAGGAAAGCAACTCCCAAGGTTGATTATCTACCTTGTAGGGGGCCCTGACCCCTCGAACCAATTCTCTGTGTTGTATCAGTCTCCTCTAACGTGACCACGTGTTTGTTCTTCTGAGGGGAAGGAATTGGTGAAACTGGGATCTCAAAGCCAGCTTGATGACTCTGTTGTCCTGATTGCCTTAATTTGTGTGAGTCTACCAGCCTCATCATAAACAACAATCCAGGGAAAGGTCACCAAGAAAGTGAGTGCTCTCTTAGAGTCATTTCAATAGCGCAAGGAATCTCAAGCAGTGTGCCCAGATGGTCTTCCTTTACTCAATTCCCTAAGCCAGCCTCTGAAAAACACCTGCACTGTTCTGTGTCTCCAGAAGGACCCAATTCTTCGAAATCGTAGAGAAACCTGTAAGAGATTTCAACTTATAGCAGTGAAATTGTAGAGACAGGAACCTGCTTTTCCAGTAAGCTGTGGGACATTAGCCCAGAGATACTTCTGGAGTTCCACCAAGGCCACCCCACCAGAACGCCACAGAGAGCTAATGTTACCTTTATTCATTCAAGAGGTTAATTTCTTTCTTTTTTTTCTTTTAAAGATTTTATTTATTTATTTAATTGACAGAGAGAGAGACAGTGAGAGAGGGAACACAACCAGGGGGAGTGGGAGAGGGAGAAGCAGGCCTCCTGCTGAGCAGGGAGCCTGATGCGGGGCTCGATCCCAGGACCCTGGGATCACAACCCCAGCCAAAGGCAGATGCTTAACAATTGAGCCACCCAGGCGCCCCTCAAGAGGTTAATTTCTTTTCCTTAACTGAATTCACTAGACTTCTAACCTAGCAAAGGGCCCACGACTGAGACTGAGGAAGAAATGAATCGAGGTCTAAAAGCTGAGCATGCTGGGAAATTATTATGATTATTTTTTAAGTTTTTTTTTTAGATTATTTTAAGATTTTATTTGTCAGAGAGAGAGAGAGGGAGAGAGCATAAGCAGGGAGAGTGGCAGGCAGAGGGAGAAGCAGGCTCCCTGCTGAGCAAGGTGCCTGATGCAGGACTTGATCCCAGGACCCTGGGATCATGACCTGAGCCAGAGGCAGATGCTTAACCGAATGAGCCACCCAGGCATCCCTATTATTATTATTATTATTATTATTATTGAAGTATAGTTGACATGCTGGGAGATCCTGCATGTCCCCTTGTGCTAAGCATGTTGAAGGATGGGTCAACACATCCTCATGGGAGTAGATGGTAGTTTGGAACTAAAATGTGGGTGTGCCTTGTAGTCCAGCAAGTTTTGGGCTTAATCCCGTTTCCTGTTATCTACTACTACATAAAAGATACCCCAAAACTTGATCCACCCAGATGCCCAATAAATACATGGCTTAAAACAACCATGTATTTATTGGGCGCCTGCGTGGCTCAGTCGGTTAAGTGTCCAACTCTTGATTTTGGCTCAGGTCACGATCTCAGGGTTGTGAGATTGAGCCCCACATTGGGCTCTGTGCTGGGCGTGTAGCCTGCTGGAGATTCTTTCTCTCTCTCCCTCTGCCCCTTCCCCTGCTGAAGCTTGCGCTCTCTCTCACTCTCGCTCTCTCTCTCTCTCAAAATAAATAAATAAAACCTTAAAAAAAAAAACCCAACCACGTATTTATTATTCCTCACAGTTCTGGGGGATAACAGACTCAGATATACAGTTCTTCCTTGAGGTTCTGAGTTTGGTTGCAGTCAGATGGTGGATAAGGCTGCACTTACCTGAACCTTCTTCACTCACATGTCTGCACCTGGGCTGGAGTGGCCGGAAAGCAGCTGTGGGCTTCCTTATGACGCAGTAGCAGTCTCTGAGTATGAGGGCTTCTCGAAGCTAGCATTGCGTCTGGCTTTCCCCAGAGCTCATGTTCCAGGAGCCCCAGGTAGTAGCTCCAAGACTTATTAGGATCTAGCCTCGGGAGTCACACAGGGTCATTCCACCGTTTTCTATTAGACAAAAAGCAAGTCTCAGGGTCAGCCAGGATCCAAGAGCATGAATACCAGCGCACTGGGGAGGCCATCTTTGGCAATGAGCTCTGGGAGTCTAGCACTACAGAGCAGGCGAGCTCTTAGTTTCAAACAGCGGGTATTAAAACAGGTCTCATAAGTGAATGGCACCCCCAGGCACAGCTCATGTTAAACCAGAGTGGTTTTAGTGCTATGACTATATTAAAAAAAAAAAAGGAAAGAAGAAAGAAAAGCCATTGGGCGCCTGGGTGGCTCAGTTGGTTAAGCGACTGCCTTCAGCTCAGGTCATGATCCTGGAGTCCCGGGATCGAGTCCCACATCGGGCTCCCTGCTCAGCAGGGAGTCTGCTTCTCCCTCTGACCCTCCTCCCTCTCATGCTCTCTCTCTATCTCATTCTCTCTCTCAAATAAATAAATAAAATCTTTAAAAAAAAAAAAAAGAAAGAAAGAAAGAAAAGCCATCAGTTGTGAAGTAAAATTAGGGAAAAAGAACCTGTGCCTTCAAGTCCGAAGCCCGTTGAGAGTTCCCAGAAGTCCCTGTTAAAATCTTCCCCGAAGTGAACTGCTTCTTCCCTACTTTCTAGTAAGTCTGGTTTTTTTTAAGCACTAGTGCTTCAGATGAACAAAACATGTCTTATTTTCTGTTCTGAAATGGTTTTTCCTTCATGCTTTTAATTTTTAAAAAAGATTATTTATTTGAGAGAGCGAGAGAGAGGACAGGGAGTGGAGCAGAGGGAGAGGGAGAAGCAGACTCCCTGCTGAGCAGGGAGCCCAAAGCAGGGCTCAACCCCAGCACCCTGAGACCATGACCTGAGCCGAAGGCGGCAGATGCTTAACCAACTGAGCCACCCAGGCGCCCCCCCTTCGTGTTTTTAAAATATTATTGCAAAATCACATTTTGTTTCCTACTAATTTTTAATGACAAGAGACGGGTATTTCAGCCATAGTATGAATTATATAGAATTTTGAGGTCTAGCCTAGGAATCTAACAGCCACTTTAAACACTGCTCTGGGGTGCCTGGGTGGCTCAGTCATTAAGCGTCTGCCTTCGGCTCAGGTCGTGATCCCAGGGTCCTGGGATCGAGCCCCACATTGGGCTCCCTGCACCGCGGGGAAGCCTGCTTCTCCCTCTCCTATTCCCCCTGCTTGTATTCCCTCTCTCGCTATGTCTCTCTCTGTCAAATAAATAAATAAAATCTTTAAAAAATAAAAAAATAAACACTGCTCTGGTTTTCGTTGGGAAAAAGCATTCCAAGCTCCAGACCACAAACTTTAAAATGGCATTTTGTGGACACGTCCCATTTGTATCTGACTCCTGCTCATTTGCTTTTTTCTTCCATGGAGTTATATCATGAACTTGGGGTTGGTTGCGTTACATTAAGGTATTGAAAAGCATACTTGATGGGGGATTTAAGGAACATTCTGTGTTGGTTCAGGACCAAGTTGCTTGTGTCCATGCCATGCTATCTCTATCAGTCAAAACCTTTAGCCTTACTGTAAACCAGAGAAGGGCAGGAATTTCCCTGGAGGAACAATTTTCAATTTAAACAGAAACTGCCGGGGCACCTGGGTGGCTCAGTCAGTTAAGCATCTGCCTGCGGCTCAGATCATGATCTCAGGGTCCTGGGATCAAGCCCCGCATCGTGCTCCCTGCTCAGCGGGGAGTCTGCTTCTTCCTCTCCCTCTGCCGCTCCCCCTGCTTGTGCTCTCTCGCTCTCTTTCAAAATAAATAAAATCTTTAAAAAAGAAATAAACAGAAACTGCCAGTTAACATTGCTGGCTAGTTCGGGGACACTACTGTGTGGGCTGGTGACCTCTGGGGTCATTTTCCACATTTATCTGCTTTCCCTCAGCTGTGCCCTTCCAGCTGCTGGTATCCAAAGGCTGAGGAGATAGTGGGAACAGTTGTGACAGCAACAGGGCCCCCAGCAGGAAGGAGGGACAGTAGTGGACCCAGCCTGTCGGGGACTCTGCCACACTCCTCAATAAAGCCCTGAGGGACAGGACTGAGGCCCAAGACTAATAAAACCCGTCCCTCCCACAGCTCCAAGTACAATGTTCTACACACATTAGGCTCCCAGGAAGCCAACTGACCGTCAGTGTTTCAGCTGGACAAAAACGGAGATTCGCAACAGATGTTATTTCCTTTACAAGGAGAATCACCTCGGGCTAATCCTAGAGAAATTAGAAATAGGGTTTCAGTTACTCACAACTTTCTGGAATCCCTAATGTGTCCGTTATGTAAAACCAGAAACGCCTTTATGCAGATGTTTGTTAATTACGAATGGTTTTTATTCAGACATGCTCATTTCTCCTCAAATTACCCAGAAAATTGGGGCATGCTGGTGGGGGGGGAGGGGGCAGACTTTGGGATGAACTACAATTCTTAAACATTCACAGGACATTGAAATTTTGACTTAAGCTGGGGACGAGAGGCAATCTTTGGAAAGAGCCCCCAAATATTTTACCCTGCTGTCATTCAGTTGCACGGACTCTCATCACTGCCTGGAAATTAAGCTGTCACTGTGTCAGGTCTCCTAAACAGGCAAAGAGCAGAGTCATCTTCTGTTGAATAGCACCTGTCAGTGGGTTGCCAAAATCTGGAGAAAATTCTCGGGCAATGTTGACTGTGCAACCCCCAGCTAGAGCACAGACCAGCTTCCGCATGAGACTCAGGAAAGCCTGAGATGTGATATTCCATCTAGCAAATCACAAATATCCCCCTCCCAGTCTCCCCAAAAGATAACACCCAATGAGTATTGACCACAAGAGGAGGCAAGGAAATATGTGTTCTCACGAGCTGCTGCAGAAGAATAAATTGCAACCAACCTTTATGGAGAATAATTTATCAATATCAAAATCCTTAAATAAAAGTGTTTATACCCTTTAATTAAAAAATTCCAATTCCAGGGACACCTGGGTGGCTCAGTCATTAAGTGTCTGCCTTCGGCTCAGGTCATGATCCCGGGGTCCTGGAATCAAGTCCCGCATCGGGCTCCCTGCTCGGCGGGAAGCCTGCTTCTCCCTCTCCCACTCCCCCTGGTTGTGTTCCCTCTCTCGCTGTGTCTCTCTGTCAAATAAATAAATAAAATCTTTAAAAAAAAAAAAAAAAAAGAGCTGTCTGTCCATAGTCTGGATGACTTCTACCCTGTGGATTCAGTCGCTTTGGTTCCAGTGGCGCCAAGGTCCCCTTGGCCACTCCAAGAATAGGCTGGGCCTGCCCATGAGCCTCTGCAGATCCATGAACCCACACAGGTACTTTGAAAGTGCCCTAAGGTTAGTGTCTCAGGATGACATCAACTGAGAAGTGTGGGTGGAGAAGATCACAGTGTTCCAGAATCTTGCCCTCAAAGACGGGTACTGAGAGTGAAGCGTGGAGGCCACTGTGCAGCCTCCTAATGAGCCATGGCCACTTGATGCTCCCAGGGCATTGGGGAATATTTACTCACATGATTGGGTTATTTGGATGCAGCCAGAGTGATCCTGAGACTTTGAAAATGAATACCAGGCAGTCATCGTTGAGCAACCTGACTCAATAGGAGAATAAAAATGAGGAGAGCAGAAAGTAGTCACTGGAAAGGACTGGAAAACCACAGTCACCAGGTTACTGTCAGGGACCGGAATCCAGGGACTTGGTGGCGGAATTAAAGAGGGACCCAGAGCTTCAAACCACGGTCCCACTGGACCTGAGGCGTTGACCTGGGAAGAAGGCCTTGGGCATGGGCCTCATGCACGGGCACGGACTGAGGCTGAGGAAGGCTGTTAAGGCCAGTTTGGGAACACTTGTATCTCTTGCTCATGAATCAAAAGCTTGCTGATCAAGGGGTGTCTAGCTGGCTCAGTTGGTGGAGCAAGCGACTCTTGATCTCAGGGTTATAAGTTCGAGCCCCACCTTGGGTGTAGTTAAAAATAAAAAAATAATTTTTAAGATTTATTTATTTGAGAGAGAGCATGAGTGAGAGAGAGAGAGAGAACGAGAGGGGGAGGGACAGAGGGAGAAGCAGACTCCCCGCCGAGCAGGGAGCCCAATGTGGGACTCAATCCCAGGACCCTGGGATCATGACCCGAGCTGAAGGCAGACACTTAAATGACTAAGCCATTCAGGCGCCCTAAAAATAAAATTTTTACGGGGCACCTGGGTGGCTCAGTCAGTTAAGCTGACTCTTGCTTTTGGCTCAGGTCACAGTCTTAGGGTTGTGAGATCGAACCCTGCATGGGGCTCCATGCTGGGTCTGGAGCCTGCTTAAGATTCTTTCCGTCTCCCTCTGCCCCTCCCCGCTCGTGCGCGCACCCGTGTGTGCTCTCTATTAAAAAAAAAAAAAAAAAAAGCTTGATGATCATATGGGCAACAAAAAGGCCATAAGAGTTTCTAACCCGGAAAAGGGATGAGATCTGACCTGACTTAGAGAAAGCAAACTAGAGATGGGAGGGAGGTCAGAGGAGGCAGCGGGGACCGAGAGATTTTCGAGCCTTCGAACACAGAGGGTCTGCAGAGGGTCTGGGGATAGGCCGACGACGGTAAGGGCAGGGGAGGAGAAGTCAGGGGCCTTAGGAAAGTCTCTGAGGTGACTTGCCCAGGACACTGTTTGGATGACTCCATCCACCAAGACCACAAAGACGTGAGACAGCCAGTGGGAGGACATAACGAGCTGCTGCAGATTTGTTCATCTGAGGAGCCTGCAGGCATCCAAGTGGAAATGTCCAGAAGGCACTAGGAAATGGGAACGGGGAGTTACTGCCGAAGTAGCCAGATGACGTGGCTGCTAAAACAAACACATCAGGGCTGCGTTTATAGCTGCATAGTATGTAGGCCTTGTTGTTGTGACTAGCGGGGGGCAGGGAGTGGGCATAGTTTCAGACTGACGTTAGCAAGCCAGCTCAGAACAGGACCTGGGGATGGGGGTGGGGGGAGGGATGCGACCAGGATGGTAGGAGAACTGGAAATCATGTTGCAGACCCAAAAGAAAAAACTAGATGCCATTGTTTCCCAGAAAACGAACTCTAGCCTGAATGTTCGGTGTGTGACAGGATATGAAAATGGAAGCTTCTACACAGCTACTAAGCAACAGTAAATATGAACTCTCCGGGTGAGGTGCCAAACTGGCAGATATATATACAGATCTACAAAGGAAATGGTCCTCAGACCTGTTCAGCTACTCTGGGGGTCAAGGATAGGGAAGGTCTGAGAATGGGAAGGGGAAAAGAATTGAAGAGATTTGAGGCAGAGGTGGGTAGTAGTTGCTGTGTCCAAAACCCCATCTACCCCCCAAAAACGACAGGTTATGTGGGGAAGGAGGTATGTGGGGGAGGTGATGCCTTTTAACCCAAAGCCAAATGAGGGGTCCGTCTGAGCCTGTCTCCGCACCACCCCTCAAAAGCAGGGCCTGAGAAAGGGGCTTCATTGTAGAGTTTATTTTGTGGAGTTGTCCCAGGGAATGGGAGCGGGGCGGGGGGGCGGGGGGCAGGGGGCAGGAAAGATTGAACCAGGGAAGGTTCACCAGTGCTGTAGGTAACTGGGCCCTGATATCACCGGGGACTTTCTGAGGAGCCATATAAAAGGTACCTCAGAATTGTCTGCCTGGTGGGGGGGTGGGATGGAGGAAGACTGAATTTATGCACAGACTCCAAATTCCGAATCGGTCAAGGGTTGGCCCCAGGGTGTTTGCACACATGTCAGAATGCCACAGTGGGTCCCCCCAGCCCCCATTCCCCACCCAGCCACAAAGAAACCTAGGGCCAGAGTGAGTGGTGTCAGCTCCACACTCTAGAAGGCTAAAGTAGGCCCTGGACTGGGGTCTGCTCCCACCCAAGACTTCTTTTCTTTTTGTTTTTGTTTTTTTTTTTTAAGATTTATTTATTTATTTTGAGAGAGAGAGCATGAGCAGAGGGAGGAGCAGAGGGAGAGTCTGACGTGGGGCTCGATCTCACAACCCTGAGACATGGCCTGAGCCAAAATCAAGAGTAGGACACCTCGCCAACTGAGCCACCCAGGCGTCCCTCCCACCCAAGACTTCTAAAGGGCAAATGACAGCAAGCTCACTGCCACTGTGGCCAAGAGAAGGAGCACTGTCCCACGGCATCGGCTTACCCTTCCGGAAGCCTGTTGGGAGAAAGGTTGTCTGGGTGTTTTCTTGGCCCCAAAAGAGACAGCCTCCTTGGGGTTGTCTTAGAGACTACCCAAGAGGACTTCTGGGGTGGGGGTGGGGGGGCAGGAGGTGAGAACACATAAAGAAGCTGGAGGGTAGTGCCCAATGCCCAGGGCTGAGGGAGGCACCTCGGTATCCACAACCTCAGGAGAGGGTGACAGTAGTGAGAATCTTTGAAGAGCCCACAAAAACTCCCCGGGGAGAAAGCAGCAGCCTTAGACACCTGCCAGACTCAGAGAGAGTGACAGGTCGGGGGCGG